CGTATACTCCACATAATCATGAGCTCCCGACGAGTGGTGACCCACAAGTCGAAATACTTTCTTGCTTCTACAACACTATTAGACAACTAAACACTAGAGTCTTTGCATGCAGGTGATTACATTCTTGTCACACTCCCACCACTCATCAAACTTTTTATACCACTTTAGGGTTGTGGAAGAACAATGCCTCTCGCAGATGGCACGGCCAATTAGGCTTGATGAGAGTACCTTTCAATAGGTTGAAGGAAGACAGCCTTTCACTAGGCTCCGTACAGTCTTATCGACGGGGACAACCGTTCGAAGAATGCACCAACGAAGGTTACACATAATCACTTACACCCTCTAACCCTAGCACTTAGCTACCCTCTAGAGTTATAGTCCGTGAACCTTGGTACTGCAACAAACGACTTGCTCGAATGTTGGAACATTGAATAAATATGGGTACTATGCAAGCTACTTAACTTCATTCATAGCATACATAATTAAAGAGGATTAATAAAGTAGAACTTCCCCCACCTTTTCAGTAGAATGCTCGGCTTAGACTTGAACTTGAAAGAAATCTCGAGGGCTCGACTCCTCGTAAAACTACATGTCTTAGTGTCTTAACATAGAATTTATTCTTATACTCATACATAAGCTTTAGAAAAACTTTGCTCGCTTGGCTTCGCCTTGCTTGCATTCTTTTGAAAAACATTCTTACTATAAAATATTTGGACAATCGAACTCTTAGCTTGCTTGCTTACGGATACTATTCTAATCGCCTAAGGTTTATCATGATCTCACTCAATGCTTTACAGCTCATAAATGTCACATAAGCATGCTTTATAAACATAAGACTCACTTAAGCAATTACACTTAATTCTTTGACAAAACTTAACACGTGCTGCATTTTTCAAACGAGCATATCTTTCAACATACAAGTCGTATTAATATGATTCAAGTCTCATATTGCTCCTAAGACATGGTACTACAACTTTCATTTAGCACTTAAAAGCAAATGAGGTCATATACATGGTCCAAAACCAGTAAACATTCAAAGCTAAAATAATGTCCAGAACTTTAAAATAACAGAGCCACGTTTTTTTTAGCACTTTCTTAAACCAAAAAGTGAAATATGGCCATTTGTTAGAAAACAATAAAATATAGCCATTTTAAGTAAGAAAAAGACAAGTGTACCCTTACTAAGTATTTTACCTACCAAATACATATAAAAAATAAAAAATGAAAGATTCTCCATCCCCACCCCCTACCTTCATCCCCACTTGCCCAATTTCCTTCCATCTCCACGCGCCATTCAGCCACAAAAAAAAAAAAAAAAAAAAAAAGAAACCATCTTTTCCAAAATTCATTCTAAAAATCATCTCCGGTATTCTTTGAGAAGAAAAAAGGAACATAAACCTTTTGGAAATTCATAAAAAAAAAATTGCAAACCTATTTTTTTCTTTAAATATGTTAAATAAATAATTTTTTGAAAACATTTATTTTTGTTCTAAAAACAGTGTATGAGCTCCCAAAATTATTGATTTTTCTAGAATCATTTTTTTGTTATCTATCGTTTCGTAAAAAAAGAAAAAGAACGATTTTTTTGTTGAATATTTTTTAGGAGTTCAAGAAAATGGATTTTTTTTTTTGCTTTCAAAAAACGGGGCTTTGTTTTGGAGTTCATCACCACCATACTTTTCTTGTACCGTTTGTTGTGCCGTTTTTCAGTCTTAGGAGCCTTAGAAATCGTTATTTTTAAGAAGAAACAATTTGTTGAACATGAAATAGTTTCTTGTTCAAGAAACAGTTTCTTGAGCAAAAACAGTTTCTTGAACAAGAAAGAACAAGAAACGATTTCAGTTCAAGAAACGGTTTCTTGAGCCCTAGAAATAATTTTAGCTCAAGAAATAGTTTCTTGAGCTCCTAGAAACGGTTTCTTGAGCCCCAGAAATAGTTTTTGAGCTCCTAGAACGATTTTTTGAGCCCCAAGAGATCGTTTCTTGAGATACCAGACACCGTTTATTCAGCTCATAGAAACGGTTTCTTGAGCTACCAAAAATCGATTTTTGAGCTCCTAGAAAATTTTTCCTGGGTTACCTGAAATAGTTTATTGAGTTCCTAGAATTCGTTCTCGGCCTACTAGGAATCAGAAATTGTTTTTTGCATTCCTAGAAACCGTTTCTTGAACTCATATTATATTGTCCTGAAACACATTCAGGGAAAAAAAGTTGAAGAAACTATTTGTATTAAGATTTTTTTTTTTCAGATGGATGTTGATAAAGTGCGAATTGTTCACAACGGATTTTGTGATGGAAATGCGTACATATTTCAAGAAAGAATTGTCGAGGAAGAAAAAATGGAGAGTCATGTTTCATTCAATTGAATTTACAACACATGTACAAATGTGACATTACAAACTTGTCATTCGTACAACACATATAAAGGGTAATTCCATAGTCATAAACAGAACACTAGCAAAGATAAAATCTCTATATTGATATCAACTGAAAAGAAAACATGTTAATATAGATATCAATTTTCCTGAAAGATAGTAGTCGATAATGGGGCCAACACAAAGATAGGTGTGCCTTGTTTCGGTTACGAGCAGCTCGATTAGACTAGACTGCCCCTTGTTTTTCCTTCTTTTTTTTTGGCATATGTTCATTTTGTGCATAGTTTTTCTCTCTACATTGTAAAGAAAATGTGTTTTTGAGCTTGAATATAAGAAAATGTTATATTGTGTTCCTTTAATTTGGGCACGACATTCTCCCGAACGTAAGAAAATGTTATATTCTGTTCCTTTAATTTGTTTTCTATGCATGTACCATTTTTAGGAAGGCAAACGAATCGGTGTATGGATATGTGCACGACTACTACAAGACCACAACATGGCGCAAACTTTACGAGCCCATAATCATGTCAATTGCGCATCCAAGTACTTGGGACTTAACTACATCACCTAGTTTGATGGTTGTCAAATGCCCTATTAATCCCAAGCAAGCCGGAAGACCGAGGTCAAACCGCATACCTTCTACTGGCCCTTCTTCGAGCTCTCGAAGTAAATCATTTTGTACACGATGCCACGAAAGTGGACATTACTCTACAACTTGTGTTGCCTTAGTCCAAAATATTGAGCATTACTCTACAACTTGTGTTGCCTTCTACTGGCCCTTTGTTGTAGTTATTTTTAAGATGATTGAAAATTGAAGTGAAGTGTGTGAAGTCCCTAAAATTTTGAATGAATAAAATAAATGAAAAAAAAAATAAGTGGTCGCGGCCGCGTGCGTTTCATAGCCGCAGCCGCGGCGAGTATTTTTTGGGTCCCAAATTTCAAGTTCAGCGCAAAATATATCACGGCCTCGGATGTGTCCCGCGGTCGCGAAGGGTGGTCGTGGCCGCGGAGAATTCTTTGGTCGCGGCCACGGCGATGAATAGGTACCTTCACAGATTTTGGGGGATTGCTCAAGAAACTGGTTTCTTGTCAAGAAACCAGTTTCTTGGCAAGAATTCTGTTTCTTGGCAAGAAACCAGTTTTCGCTCAAGAAACCAGTTTCTTGGCAAGAAACTAGTTTCTTGGCAAGAAACCAGTTTCTCGCTCAAGAAACGAGTTTCTTGGCAAGAAACCAGTTTCATGGCAAGAAACCTGTTTCTCGCTCAAGAAACCAGTTTCTTGGCAAGAAACATGTTTCTTGGCAAGAAACCTGTTTCTTGGCAAGAAACCTGTTTTTCGCTCAAGAAACCAGTTTCTTGGCAAGAAACCTGTTTCTTGGCAAGAAACCTGTTTTTCGCTCAAGAAACCAGTTTCTTGGCAAGAAACCAGTTTCTTGTCAAGAAACCTGTTTCTTGGCGAGAAAGAAACGTGGTGCAAATTTTGAACCTGTTATGACAATCCCCTAACCCTAGCTAGAGAATTTAGCTACTCATAGCGATCTCAACA